CGGAAATGTTGTAAACCCGTATGCTCAGATTTGGGTGCCCGTTAAAGAACCACAGGTGGTCGTATTTTCCGGAGCCCTCCACTACGGCGTCTCTCATAATCATATGGTGGTTTCGGGACGTTAAACCCTCATATCAATCAACCTCTGAGTTTCTTCAGCTGTCATTCTTCAGCGGCACACTGCAAGTATCGAGCTGCTTTTTGCTCATCATCATCATCATCATCAGCCTGACTACGTCCACTGCAGGACAAAGGCCTCTCCCATGTTCCGCCAGTTAACCCGGTCCTGTGCTTGTTTATACCCGCAAACTTCTCAATCTCATCTGCCCACCTAACCTTCTGTCTCCATCTAACCCGCTTGCCTTCTCTGGGAATCCAGTTAGTCACCCTTAATGAGCAGCGGTTATCCTGTCCACGCGCTACATGCCCGGCCCATTTCCATTTCTTCTTCTTGATTTCAGCTATGATATCCTTAACCCCCGTTTTTTCCCTAGTCCACTCTGCTCTCTTTTTGTCTCTTAAGGTTACACCTACCATTTTTCTTTCTTTTGCTCGCTGCGTCGTCCTCAATTTAAGCTGAACCCTATTTGTAAGTCTTTAGTTTCTGCTCCGTAGCAAAGTACCGGCAAAACACAGCTGTTATATACCTTCCTCTTGAGGGATAGTGGCAATCTACCTATCATAATTGGAGAGTCCTTACCAAATGCGCTCCACCCACCAATTTGTTTATCATGTAACAATTTGCTAGCGCATTCGTTGCTTCGCCCTTGCCACGAAACTGTGAATTTTTTTTAATCGAGTGGAAGCATTTATCTAAGAGAAGGAGGCACAGAAAGAAAAGCTACAAAACGCACTTTGCGGCCGTTAACAACATGGAAATTGCAATGTCATTTTTGGCGCTACCTTGGAGACGTCTTCGGCCACCTCTCTAGGGTGTGTGTCGAACGCCTCCCTCTGGGCTTTCAAGTACCAGGCCAGAACTCCGCAGGTAGACCGAAAGTCCAGGTACGTGATGGAGCCGTAGAAGAAGTAGGCCGCTGCTGCTGCCGAAGCCACCAGCCTGTAGACTATGCTCGATCTCTTGTAGATGCCATCTGAGCGTAGCCTGTGATAGAAAATGGCCACAGTCACGTACATGCCCAGTCCTCCTGCCAGCACGCAGAGCCTGAGAAACCAATGGCATCTCTGCAAGACGTCCTGTGTCACCGGCGGACGCAAGCCTGAGGACTTCTCGTATAAATCACACTTCTGGAAGAACTCCAGCATCTGGCCTGAACCCAGCAGCGCGCAGGAGACGTTCGTCACCACTTCTATCATCGTGCTGTTGTTCACGACCGAGAACAGGGTTTTGTCAAAGTGCTTCTCCACGTCGAGGCGGACTGACCGGGCGACTGTCTTTGCCAGGCGCCGCCTTCAAAGAACGCGACCACCGAGACACAAGTGATGGCGTAGTGTGCGAGAGGACTTCACTGTCACTCTAGCCTTGCGTGGGGACCCAGGGGTAAATATCCTGGATCAGCAAGCAGTGGAAGAGGGGACACAACAGGTGACACAGAGCGAAGTCTTAAATCATGAAGCAGTACGTCCCACCATTGCGGCTGCCATTGGGTTGGCGGTGACTCGTTGGGCGCTGCGTCAGGCCAGCCCAGAGAGAGCCACTTTTTTACACGTCGTTTGTTAAAATCTGGAATTTCGGAAAACCATACGTGCCTGTCCATTAACCAGCTGAATTGTGAATCACGCTGTAAAGTGAATTTAATATTCACGGTATTTTCTGGATATCTTATTTTCATGTCAAAGAGGCAACTTTGCCTTTTCTGCTCCTACAGGCTAACTGCGTGTTTGATTTTCCTCCGCAATATTTTGTAACATTCGTCTCTTGATTTCATTACTTGCATCTTTAGATTCAAAACACACTACAGACCCAAAGCTACATGAAGCTCCTCAAAATATCTATCGGACGACTATCGATATTCAGACATCCAGAGTACACTCGCACGTACGTACGCGCTGGCCGGAGTATCGGCGTGTAACGAAGATGGGGCTGAATGCCCTCTATAAAATTTTACATCTCTCTTTCTCTCTCTCCCTATATATATATATATATATATATATATATATATATATATATATATATATATATATATATATATATATATATATATATATATATATATATATATATACCCGTGATAATATATAATTATAATAATATATTGTAACGGGTTCGTGACGCTGATGAAGGGAGCAGACAGTAGGTTAAAGAAAGACTAAACTGTTTATTCGGCCGAACTTGTGGCCACGTAAAATGAAAGTCAGATTATACCAAGACACTGGCACTGATAGCGGTGAACTAAGCGTCCGCCGCGATCAACTGACAAGCGGCGAAGCTTGTCTGCATTTATACACTTGCCATAGAATATTCTAGCGTTATCGCTAGTAGTGACGTAGGTTTCAGAATAATCTGTGACGTTCCCAAAGTGGGCGTTATCTTAACAAAATGATGGACCGCAGTCCCACAGCTTCTCGATTACTGACAGTGAAAGAGGGCGATAAGAAAACTTGAGGAGGGAATGGGGCAATATCAATGGACGCAAGAGCACTTGAACATGCTTAAAAACAGCTCGAAACACCCCCGAAATTAATTTCTGGATACGCCCCAGCGCTGAATATACTAGGGATGTCCACAAAACTTGCGCTTTATAAAACGTCTTCTACGTCTCAAAATTGTCGATAATGTAGTAAGCAGCCCATCGATTTTTTTTCTGTGTTTAGAGGGCTTTTTTTTTATAAAAAAATGATCCAATTACGAATACATACGCACAGCGCAAAAAGGTCTCCATGAAGCCGGGGACGTCCTGGTCGCCCTCCTCGCCTTCGCCATTTTCCGTCGTATGTACGTCCGATAACCTGCGATGACTGCGAGACCTCGAACGACGCAACTTCTACACAGGCTGATGTTGAGCACTGTATACTTCACGCGACAGTTCATGCGCACGTAAACTTCTTTTCAAAGCAGAGACGAAACAGCCCCTTTCTGTACTGTGGAAAGGGAGTACAAAGACTGACGTCACTGTTACCGGAGTCACTGCTACCACGTGACTCTGGATATCTAGCCAATGAGGACGCATTACTTACTTTGGTTCGTGGCGTGCCAGGGCGTGACATCCGTTGCGTCTTCCAAAGGCGGCCTCGTTTTAAGCTTGGAGCACCGCCTTTTTATAGGTAATTCAAATTGCGTCGTCTTCGCACACGCGACATGACGATCGTTCAAACGCCGACGAGCACACACTGAGAAAAACCGCACATCGTCTCTAACAATTTTCTCTTTTTTTTGTTTATTTAAATGTGGAAGTTTGTCGTTAGCCAAACCACAGTACTCTGGCCAAACTAAGATGCTTCCAGAAAGGTTGAGCGTAAGTAAAATAATCGATGATGGTTCGTCACAGAAGCATGGTACAGAAGTTCGGTACAATATATACGGCGGCGTGGGACAACGGCTACACTTCACATAGTTTTCCTTTCTATTATTCAGGACCATCAATTCCCTGAGGTAAAAATACGGGACAAAATACTATCAACATTGGACCGTTGATCCGATACAGTCCAGCGCTGCATGACACCAATACACTTACAAAATATGAATTTCATTTAGCTTCACCAAAAGCCGCATTTCAATGGTCGCACTTGAAGTGCACATAATATGCCCAGTTAGAGAACCCATTCAGTGGAATTTACACAGGCCTGATTGGAACAATGCTTATGCATTCGGTCTTAGTCAATGTCAATGAAGAAAACACAAAAGATATAAAGTTTGCCCAGGTGAAAATATTCAAGAAATTTGATGTAGCACGAAGCGAAACACGGACACGAAAAGGCACATATTCGTGAGAAAGCTATATCCGTCCGTCAGCGTGCGTCATGACCATGGGCACTTTTTTTATGTGAACAAGTGGCTTACTTTCAGTGGAGGGGGAATAAACTTCATTATTCAGAAAGGGGAGGGAAATGGGGGAAATCAAGTTTGACGGAGGCTAGGTTGGGGCCCAGGGGGCCGCAACATTAGCAGACCAGTCCACCAGCTTGGTCTGTATATGCGAATTCCGGCTCCTTAAGGACCTCTTCCAGGCTTCCGTTGAGGGAGATGACTGCAGGAGCTCCTCGTGTGGAGGATCTGTTGCTGGGCCTGTTGGTACATACTTGAAGAAACAGAGAAACCAGCTTTAAGGACACGTTCACAAGAGAAGAAGATGACACACACACACATCCAGCATGTGTGTGTCTTCTCCTCTTGTGGACGTGTCCTGAAGCTGGTTTCTCGGTTCCTTCCGGTGGAGGGTTGTTGGGGCAACCCCATAATACTTGGTCTTATCCTGCCTGTGCTAGGCCACAGTGTGATCGCGAGCGCGGACATGAGGCGGCATCAAGCGACGACCACGATAGCTACGTAGCTCACGAGGATCGATTCAGTCAATAACACAGCAGCTTTTGTGTTTATGGTGCTATCACTTGGGTATATGGCATCGTTCGCTGGAATATGGGAGAAGTCATTTCTAGCTAACTTGGATAAATGCGAATTCCACGCCTTATGCAGCGCTATAATGTTTGGCTCACGTGTCTTCAGGAGCATCGGCTACCGAGCAGCACCATTTTTGGACGACGCCCAAAAAGTGTTGCAGAGTCCCTCTAAAAAGTGAAAGCATTCCTAATACTTTTGTTTTAGATTGCATTTAATGAAGCAATTCTATCCAGCTGGAAATGAATGCAACAGAACGATAACATACACTTTTATTGTGGGGCAACAGAGAATAACTCTCCGCTTCATTTCGTACCTTTTAGAAGTTTGACTGCTATTCTTTCTCAAGCCTGTGAGCGCACATTGCAAATGTTGCAAATTGAAAATATGCACATAACATGCATATTCTTCCAGTGCCTTGGTGACCTGGTGTAGTCTGGTTAATGTTTATGTCAGCTCACAAGCATACAAAATTGCACTGCGCATTTCAAGGAGGAAAACATTTAGTTTTACTAGAAGCATAGAATAAGAATGCATTAGAAAGGAAACCTGATACCATAACTGAAACCACAGATTTGTTTCAAGACACAAGAGTGTCCAGAATAGCGATCTTGTGAAGATCGCATGGTGCAGCACGTTCTCATCAGAGGTGTAATGACAAAGCAGAACACTAACAATCTACTTTCATTACACATTAGTGGTCACTCTGCATCGCAAGTCAAAGATGTTCTCAACAAGTATCCAAGACTTTACCAAATGTTTGTAAAGGCCTGAACACATTTCTGCCTACACTAGCAAATCAGCTTTGTTCGACAATGTACACATGATTAATGTCTCCCAAATGATTGCCATGTCACCATAGAGACAGTTGTAAGCAATACATGTTCAGTCATGGTGCTTTTTGAGCATCAGTACACTACGGATGTACCAGAACTTTCCTCAATCGCTTACACAACATAACATACTGGCCTTACGAGCCCATCCAGCGAAATTAAATGTATGGCAAAATACCAGTCATGCAAATAGCTACATCCATACACACATTGTATTATAGTGGTATTAAAATCTAGACTGCAAAATTATGGCCTGCCAGTGATATATACTTCAGATGAAGCCTTAGACCAGGGTTTTCTAAAACTTCTCTATCAAAATATATTAATATTTCACTGCATTTACAAAAATTGAGTGCACAAAATGAAGTGATAATTTCAATGCAGCCTTAAAACTTAAATTTGCCAAAAATGAGAACCCAATACTTTTCATGATAGGTCAGCGATTCTGAAAAAGCTTCTCTTCAGAAAAAGCTCCTCTTTCATTATATAATGATGTATTCGACATTGTATTTATGTCTAAGCCTCAGCTATTAACCAATACACTTTCCAAAAACTTCATGTCTCTTTTGCTAACACATTTTTGCTCATGTGCTTGAAAATTATTTATTTTCGATTTTGAGCAACCTTTATACAATAGCTTTACAAAAATCAAATATACATCAGACACCAAATATGAGCTTCTATTTACAATTAGTGTCACAAAATTAATCAGTGTTGTCTCATAGGAAGTACAACAAATTAAATCCCCCTTCTCTTTGTGTATTTTGATAATGAAAAGCTGAGATAATGCTTTCATTTCGACTTTAACGTACCAGCAGCCAGGGTCGACTGATTGCCCACAGCTTGTGACCAGTGTAGATGGTGCGAAAAAGCGTGCGAATGGGAAATGGTCGCAACGACACTTTGGTATAATCACCTTGTCGACCTGAATCGCCATTGGCGGAAGACTAAAGCAGGCTTCTTAAATAGCTAAGCAATACCATCATACATAACATTGATAAAACAAGGCAACATGCAGCTACACTCTTAGGCTCGAAACCACTGGCAGTAGGAGTAAGCTCTGTACAGTGCAATGATACCCGGTATTCATTTAAAGCACATAATTTATTTTCATTTCATCATCAGAACCATGCAGGTCTTATCGAGACCTTTTGAACTCTCACATATAACAATGACATGCGGTAAAAAGATGTGCATTGGGCCTATTGAAACTATTACGACAACTCTCTCTCTCTCCTGAAAAGTTCAATCCACATGCCAGTGGATCACAAGTACTATTAGCACACCTACAAAGGCAGCACGAAAGGCGAGACTTGAACAATAAAACACGACGTGCATAGGCCACCAATAGAAGTAAAACATGGCAATTTCATGCCGTGCAACGAAAAGGTATGACATGCAACAGAAATCGACAATTAAAACTACTATATGTGTAAAATAGTTGCCCATTCTGTACCATCTAGTGAAACATTAGGCGTTGATTATGCCGTAATCTTTCACTTGGCAGGTCTCGGACATTAATCAACCACTAGCGAATAACAATCCAAGCCGCCTATGAGCTAGTTTTTTAGATGAATGATGCATTGTAGATGAGCACATTCCCAGAAGGAAAAGTCGGCAGCATCTATTAGCAACAATCGTTGAGCAAGTGCCACAAGACAACTTGAACTTATGCATGAGCTCATTTTGTAATAAAGGCTTCACTCAGCCAGCAGTAAACTACCAACTTTATAAGATGCTTCCGAACATTGGAACACGTGGAATACCGAAAGGGCCCGTGAGAGGGTGTCTGCCGCTTAAGTCACCAATACCCCTCAATTTTTCTGTCCGCACGCCGATACCTCTCGCCCTTTATCATGCCCAAATGTTGCGATGACGTACTCTTATACAAGTGCATAGAGCCTCGTCTACCTCATGCTGCAGTTTTAGACCGATGATGGTGTGGAAAAAATCACAGCATACTTGGAGCTCTTGACTTGACATGGTTTATTGAAATTGCAAAGATATTCCGGAAATCTCTCGTTCAATTCCTTCAATACAACTACAGATTACTTCGTGTGGCTCTTGATTTTGAGTGCAAGCTGGCTACTGAAATGCCAGTCAATTTGACACTTATCCCTTCTGGACAAGACACCACGCAAAAAACAGGCTCGCCTTGGAATACATTTTTTGAAAGAAATGGTAATGTACATAATCGTACACATCCCCTCCAAGACTTCCGTGTCTAGGCATCATTATCCATGCCTAGGACTCGTGGCTGAAGGCACGTGTCAGCTGTGAACTAGGATGTGTCAAGCTACCCTGAACTTAAATCTCATGCTGTTACCCGCTTTTACTTTACGTTTCAGCTCTATGGCAACACATGCAGTTCGACCATTGACACAGAAGCAAAAATTTAAAGGTAGCTAATGATTTTCATCAAGCATCTTTCGCCACAAGTTTCTCAAATGATGATACTTGCTCTGACAGCTATGCTGTAAGAAAATAGTTACATCCATTTCTTTTTGGATGGAGAAAAATGTTGGAGCTGTTACAAATTTATTGCGCACTATTCAAGAGGTCGTGCCAATACTTCAGCACAATGGTGCTGTTCCACAGTCACCCTTTACGGACCTAAAAGGCCATATCATATAGTTCGTCCTAGGTGCATAATTCTCGTCTATCACATGAACACACAGGGATGCAATCCCTTATGAGATTTTGTACGAGCCAGCACAGGATGCATTACACTCTTCAGGCAAGAGTATTCAACACATGCCTGCAGTTTCCAATGTCTCACATGCAGTAAACGAAACAATGCAATACACTCGTACCAACAGAAGCGATTAACTAAAAAAAATTGTTCCAATTGCTCGCCGCAACTATACATTGTGTAGCCTGTACAGTTCTATGCAACCTGGCTTCTAAGGCATCGACACATTACACTAGGAAAACAGTGCAGATAAAACTGCACATCGGCATCAATAAGGCAAGGGCTCACCCTGTAAAACGAAATAAATAAAAATTCAGTTCTTGTTTAAGCCTCCAAAGTGACCTATTCACCCACAGCAGCACAGTACAACCCATCTTACCGTGCGACAGCAACATTCTTCAATATCACAACTGGGGCATGTAAACGATATGTGCAATTCGATTTTCAGCTTTCAGCTGGTTATTTTGGTGTGAGAAGGGACTCTGCGTGAGGCTTATTAGCTCCCTTCAAAGCCATAATAAAAAAAAGCTGATGCTTCTTCAGTGAAGTTTGCAAAGCCCGCCTAAAGCACAAAATAACCGGACACATTGAGAAGGTTCTTAGTGCACACACCATACATCTAGAGAGGGAGGAATAGCCTCCAAGTCTACATGGCAAATAAAGGGGCCAGTCATCAGTGGGCACGAGTGTTCAAAGGAATCACCTAAACGCACTATAACGGGTTGCATTGAAGATGTCTCCAGCAGACACACCTCTCGAGAAGAAAATTACTTCCAAGTAGACTTGGCGAACGAAGCGGGCATGTGGCCGGTCAGCACGCCATCAGTGCGCATGTCATTCGTGAGCATACCATCAGTGGGCACGTCATCAGTGGGCATGTCATCAGTGAGCACGCCATCAATGGGCACGTCATCAGTTGGCGTGCCTGCTCAGAGGAATCACTCGCTGAGTCCGCTTCAAGTGCACAGTAATGGATCCAGGAGAGAGGGCCATCAGTGGGAGCGTGCAATGTCCGAAAAGAAGGCGAGGATGTCATCTATGGTGAACTCGAGGGTGATCATGGACCCCGGGTAGCAGCGCTGGACCAGCAGCCTCGAGCGACTTGTACTGGCGGATGAACTCGTCCTTGCATCGAGTGCCACACCACCTGCAAGAGGCTGCTGCTCTCGTCCGAGAGGTGCTTCTCGACCTTGCGGTACAGGGCCTCGAGTCCCCGCTTGACCTCCTTGCCCGGATACTCCTTGATGACCTTGCGCAGCTCCTGCTTGCTGAACGCCAGCTGGTAGCCCACTTCCTCCTCCTTCACACCCTGGGCCACTTTGCTCTGGACCCCTTCGAAGAACAGGTTCAGCTTCTCCAGGGGACGGCCAAAGTAGTGCGTCACGTAAGCCTGCAGTGCCTCACTGTAGCGCTGCTTGGCCTCGCGCCGCTCGGCTTCTAGGCAGCCGATCTTCAGCTGGTAAAGCAGAGTGTACAGCTGGTGGAAGTTCTCGAGCCGAACGACCTGCAGAAAATTGCAGAAGGCATAATGTTCTCAAGAGGCTGGTTTCGGGAGTGCTTTATACATGTCCCCTCTTTCAGAACCGCAGCTTTAGAACAACTTTCCTAACGGTCGTGGAGCAAAATTCATAACCAATGGGGATTTTATAATTAATAATACCCGAATACCTACTTTGATTATGAGTTGCTATTTTTTCGTTTATTTACTTGTGGCCAAGCCTAAATATTGGGTTAGAAATATACTTTTTAACGAAAATTTTTAAGGTAACAAACTAATTTTCTTGTAAGACACAACCTTTCTATAATTAGGTTTGAGTGAGCTAATTAGGTTACCTGGTGCACAAAGACTTCTTATCTCATCAAGCTTTCGTGTTACTCTAAGCTTCTGCCTCATTATTTGCTCCCATTTTAGACATTCTCACCTCGGGTGGTGTTCTTTGGTGCTCGACAGCGATGCGGCCGATGGCATCAATCATGGCACGAACCAGGCGCGTATACCACTTGTCGAGATCGGCACGACGCTCCGACTGGCGGAAGATGGCCTCGGCCTGCTTGGCGAACTCTTCGAAGTGGTTCAGGAAAGGCAGCAGGCCACACTTGGAGCGCTTTGGGGCCTTGGCTTCCTCCACTGCCCGGACCTGAAGGACAATGGTAAATCTGGTAACGAGGCTTTTTGAGCATACCGTAAAATTATCCGCAAGAACTGCCCCATCAGCCCCATTAACAAATAAAAATTACCGGGGAAATGTAAGAGGGGCATGTTCCTGAAAGTAAGCAAAATTCAAGAGGGCAGCTGCACGGTCTTCTTACCACAAAAAAATGACTTTCTCAAACGTCTGCTGGCTCTCTTTCATGGCATGGTGTATTACAACGATGCATAAACAGGAAAACATAAAGGCAATGCAATTAGAGCCTGAGAAGCATGGCGAGGAAGTAACTCTGGCAATAACCTGCGTATTCAGAAACGCTTGACTTGACTTACCACCGCCTCCGATGTGGCACAAATGCATTTCGAATGCCGTCTTTTAAACGGGCCCTGCGACACTTTTTGAGCATGGTCAGAAAATGCTGCCCATCGGTAGTAGAAGCTCCTGAGAACACGCGAGTCAAATATTAGCATAGCATGTAGCCTAGAATTCACAATAAATTGTCAAAGTCAGCTAAAAACTGCTTTCTCTTCTCCCGACAAACGACGGAAGAAGCTCAAAAATCACTCGTAACAGGCCTTCTATAATCTGAGCATGGCACACACTGTCGTTACAGGGATCTCCGCAGGAGGCCACGACTTTTCTAGCTGTGCGCACACGGTCACACTTAAAAAATTGTGTATTAGAAGAAAAAAAGAAAAAAGTGCTCAAGGTCACAAGTCGTGCATGGCATATTTTTTTGCCTATGTCATCCTCTCTGCTACCTTCCAGTGCTTTCGTTGGGACGAGAAAAGAGAGATTATACGGTTGCAGAGTGCAACAAATCTTCGCAACTCTGCTCGCACTGGACGAATTACTGAAATGTTTGAGGCATTGAATTTGTGAGGCAAAAAAGCATTGAAAAAGTGTTTCAGGGCCCCGTGTAAAAGCAGCACAAACACACTAATATGTTTCAAATGTGCTGCATCAACGGCAGTAGTACGTCAGTTCAAGTCAAGGAACGTTTTCGAGTACAGGGACAGGCCCACGGCAATTTAACAGCTCAGAAAAACACACAGATATCTTGAAGGCTTTACTTTTGCCAACTAGTGTGTAAAACGTACCATCACTGAATTGCACATACAAATCTTGAAGGCCACAGTTTCACTTACGGGAACCTGATATTTGTCATGTCTGTCATGCACTTAGTACTAGCAGCAATCACTATGGAGAAAACCACACAATATAATATTTTCACAACATAATTCAGGCATAAATGCTTTGGTATTGAGTCTCCAAACAATGCATAATCATCAAAACTTGGAGCTTTCCAAAAACAGCGCATAAACTTGAAATCAACAGAGCAGTTGAAGGCTCACTTACCCAGAATATTATGACAGACAGCAAGCAACCATCATAAGCCGTTTGTTACATCATTATGCTGGGTAAGTACACATACTCCAAAACTTAAGCATTTACGATGTTACATAGATACAAGTAGTACATTAAATTCAGTGCTCTGTGCGATAGTGCAATTAATACTAACATGATACTACTACTCTAGTCAGGTAACTGATATCTTTTGTCTAGCCATGTATTATGTGCAACAATTATGGATTGTTAAGCAAATCAATGTTGCAACATCTCAGTTGAGTGACAGATTATTCAATTTATAGTTGTATACAGTAAAAGCTCGTTAATTCGAATTCCCACGGGAACGCTGAGCAATTTCGAATTAAACAAAATTCGAAATAATGAAAGTGTGCAAAAATGAGTGGATTTCGGAGGTGGGGTCTCGAAAAATATTTATTGGCCAAAAAAGTCGGTGATGACCATCTGCCTCTTTTCTCTGAATGCCACAGCTGCGGCTCTCTGTTCCAGCTGCGCAGACGCGGCGCAGGGAATCCTCTTCACCCTCTTCAAAGCTGAAGAAGAGACGCGCCACATTAAGTGCCTCCATCACCGCAGAAGCTGACGGGCGCACAGGCGCTTCGTCATTTTCGTCTTCCTCACCTTCTGGCTCTTCTGCATCAGGCTGCGCACCGGCTACATGAGCGATAATGTCCTCATCAGTCAGGGCACCACACACCGATGCACCTGGTGTCAACTTCAACATAATCGGCAAAACGTACGCCCCGAAGAGTGTCGCGCAATGCCACTGGCATGAGCTCCTCAGCCCCATCCACGTCGACGTCACAACTATCCTGCACACTTCCAGCTGCGAAACCACTGTGGCGGAAACAGTTTGCGATTGTGGTCGCGGTCACCTGTTCCCATGCGCGCACCAACACGTGCATGGCGTGAACGAACAACGTGCTCGAGGAACAAAGTGACGCTGCCGGGAGCGGCCTAGGACTGCTAGGACTACTCCGCCTGGCTCCTTAGCGTCCCGTGGGTCCCGCGTACAAGTGGCGCCAGGCGCTGAGATAGCGGGAAGGCTACGTAAAAAAAAAAATTGCTCTCTGGATTTTGGAGGCCATACTTTGCTCGCCCTTTGCTCAGAGGCCACTTGAAGCTCGAAAAAACTGGTCGTGCCACCTATCGTTCGACCTGTAAAAGCTTCCACTAGTGTTTGACGATGATGACGCTCGACAACGCGCGCTTCGAATTATCTGTAGAGGCAGCAATTTCTGTTCGAATTAACGAATCGTTTTACACATGGTCTCCTATGCACTGCGGACCGGACTGCGGCGACCATTTCGAATTATCCAAAATTTCGAATTAATGAGGTGTGAATTAACGAGCTTTCACTGTATCAGCACATAAAGCTGTGCTGTGTGTCCTTGTTGGTAGCCGATTCGGTACCTAATTTCAGTCAATAATTGCTTCAAACTTTAATATAGCCTTTTGGCTTTGAGCCTTGAACAAAATATTTTTCAGTTGCGGCGCCTAAGCAGAAGGGGTGCCCCCATTTTCTCATTAGTCACAAAAATCATGAATGTCATAAAAGAAGCATAGCCAACCAAAGTTCAAATTTAGGTCAATATCATGAAGTTCAACTGTAATATAGGTTGTAGCTAATCTGGAATTTAAAAAGACTAATGATACGTTTCCATCTCTCGAGATTGGCAAAACAACCCGCATGCTTGACTCGTGTACCTTATCAGCCATGTATCGATCGAAGTTCCGCTTGGCCTGTACCACCACGGTGCCGAAGGCCATGCTCAAGAATGAACCGGTGTCTTGCGCCGACATGACATGCTGGTTGAGGCGCACCAGTAAGTGCATCGAGTACACCCCATCCAACTTGTCATACGTCTCAAGAAAATTCTGTAGCTTGGCCTCCAGCGTTGGGAAAAGGGCCGACATCATCCGTCGCAGCTCCTCGTTGATCTGTCGCTCCTTTCGGTGCACTGACGCCAGGGCCTCATCAGAGGCGGCCCGCACAGGCGTTGCGTAGCCGATGCCAGCTGCAGCCGGCTGGCTACTCACAGAGCCAGGAAGCCGAGCTGAGCCGAGCCCGAAGAAAGCTGCGCAGAACTGTTGCTCGGCCAGGCAGACAGGCTCCAGCATGCTGAGCAGACGTTCCAAGACCGCATCAAAGCGATTCTCCATGGGCTCCGTCGACTCGGCCTGCTGGACGCCGGAGAGTCGCCGGTCCAGTGTTCCGGTCACGGGCTTCGAGGTGAGCCGATCCTTGGCCTGCTCGAAGAATATGTGCAGCTCCCGCTCGTACAGTTTGCTCATCGTGTTGATGTAGTTCTTTTGGAGCTGCGCGAACCGCGCCGTTTCCGGTGCCCGTGACAGCCACAGCATCAGCTCGCTGTATGGACGCAGCTCGTTATGGCAACCGGTGTGCTTGACTAGCGTCACCTCGCCGCACTGGCTCGTCTCCGAGGCCAGCCGTAGGAAGAGCTTGTTGAGGTGGTGTGACAATGACGTGCTGAACTTGTCGCGCAGCTTCTCGAGCAACTTGGTTTGCTCCTGAACAGCGGCCATCTTGGACAGGCCTGGACGTGTCTGGGCACTGCATGCCTCCTCAAGGGCTCGGGCAGCGGCAGTGCAGGCACGGATGCCGTCCTGACTCGTCAAGTCTCCGTTAAGAAGGGCTACCTGCAGCAAAATGGAAGACATTGATATAGTGATGACGTATTTTACTAGCACTGAGCAGCCACGACATTATAGATATTGAATTGCAAGAATGTTTTCCAACCTGATAGCAAAAAAATAAATAAAAAAGTCAATCCTGAGTTCTAGTCCTTATGGGGCAGAACGAATACATTGTAAGAGGTAAACAGCATGATACACGAAGCCAGAAAAATGGAAAGACACAAGATGAGCACTCGTCTTGTGTCTTTCTATTTCTCGGTCTTCCTGTTTCGAGCTGTTTACCCCTTACAATGAATCGTTACCAGCTGGCCAGTTTTCAATACTACTCAGAACAAATAAAGTAGGCTCTTATTAAATGGAACTTGAAGGGACCAAAAAAGATGCGTTCCAGTAAAAAAGAGGCATATATAGTGAGAGACAAACAGTGGTGCCTGATTCAGGCACAAAGCAACTCGCATGAGAGGCGGCTGTTTCAATCAACTAGCTGTCCCTTTCAACAAATTTCCTTTTACTGAGACTCTATTGCACAGTATTTAGAAATATCTCAAAGTGAGGAACACTGGATTGTTGTTTTTTATTTTACACGCTTGGTTTCATTCATCAGGTGCATCACTGTGGCAACAAAATAAGTAGTTTGATCGGCAAAATGAGTAAAGGCCTATTCATACCTACAAATACCACCGATCGTGAAACCATTTGTGACTGGCGGGCAAAACGTATGTCAAGACAGTCGATTTTCAAACCTGCGTGCAATCTACACTTGTTGCCACACAGAATTCCCATCTTCTTGCATTGCTATCGGCTCACAAAATAAACAGATATTCTCTCCATCTGATTTGTTCAGACATTTGCAACTACCATCGCACAACTTTATCACAGAGAGCAGAAATATGCGCATATTCTAGAGTCCAGGTTGTGAAGTTATTTGCAGCTATTAACTTGTTTTAATATCATCATTATAGGTGATCCACATAAGTGATGACGGTTTTTCCTCATTCATGAGCTTTCCAGCTAGGTAGACACCCAAGGGGACACAGTGCTACTTGCAAACACCAAAGCTACTTTACACCTGAACATAACAAACACTGATATAATGAATCACCAGCTATGATAGTGATGGTAAACTAACAACTGTCAAGAAATCGCCCTGACCTGGTGCGCATGCGGCAAGTCGAGCTGATTGACGAGTGTCTCCAGCTCATGCAGGAGACGAACATTGTTCTCGTTCTGCACGTGCAGCAGGGCATCCTTCTCCTCCATCCGGAGCACGCTGTCGCGCACGGTGCGCAGCAGGTGCTCGTACGCATCCAGGCGGCGCTCGAGGCGACACACCTGTCGAAAAATAGACACGTACATGTAAGGCGTACAATGTCAGCTCGATTTTATTATGACTACAATCAAGGCATCAAACGTGATAAGCTAAGCCAGTCAGTATGGGTTAGCAAAGATAAGAATGAGAGAAAATGAACATAATGCAAGGTGCCACTTCAAGCAAGCTGAAAATGTCCTGTAAAATTTATTACAAAAAATTAAAAACACGTGTTAATCGCTTGGTGCATAGCAAGAAGCATAAGACCAAAAAATGATGGAAGTGTGTGGGCAGATCAGAGGAAAGGCCCAAGGTTGGCAAGGTATATGCACAGAAGTGTAGCTCTGGCAAAGCAAGTTGCATACAGTGCAGTTTAGTGGAACTTTTTAATAGTTTGACGTGGTGGCAACGAGCGTATCCAACGATTCCTCTTTTTTTTACACTCTATACTCAATAAAGCACTAAATAAATCTACAATATTCCGCATACAGCATCTAGATTAACGGCAAACATGGTTCCTTATGGATCCACTACACTGAATCCACTGGAGTTATGGATCCATAGGCTGTACTGGTTAGGTAGCCCATAATAGTAATAAACTTGTAATTAGTTTTCATTATCCAGATATATATTAAACCAACAAGTGCAAAGGAATGTGAATCTATAGTCACCATGGAGTGCATATAATGGGAATGTTGAGAGATAAGTGACAATAAAACAAATATGTGGCCTCAATAGTACCAACATCCTTCACGCGCACTGGGAGGTCATGGTGCTTATCTACATCCTCAGAAATACACATTAAGTTGTCTAGCAGGATGAGGAAGTCACCAGCGCCCAGAAAATCCTGGCCATCCTCTAGACGAGGCCTTCTGCTCGATTAATCAACTTGCAGGACACCCGATACGGTTATTCTCTTTCTTTAGCGCCTCTTGAAACTACTTACGTAAAAATAACTAAGGATTAACCCACCTCGTCAAGGGCCACCTGCGTCATTTCCATGAGCTTCTGGACCCGCCGCTCAGACTCCATGATGGTGTACACGTTGGAGGCATCCAGTGCAGCCAGTTCACGAGCAAGCTGCTCGGTAAACTCTTCGGCATTGTGAATAGCAAACTCGTACTTGGCCATCAGGCACTCCAAGTCGGCCTCCTCACGTGCCGTCAGTGCCTGTCAATGTTAAAGGCCTTCAAGCAGGTGCAACGATCGAGCATCAAACTGGAGAGAAGCAAACACGCATCAGTAAGGTGGGTGCCCGCCCAGTCGATGCATGTTTCTTCTACTCCATTTCTTCTTGCCTCAAAGGGCAAAACTTTTCAAGTATAATCAGAAAACGCTGCCAATCACTAGTTGAGGCTCCTGAGAACACGCAAGCCATATATTACTGTGCAGTATGCGACATGCAATTCACATTAAATTCTCAGTCAGCTAAAGATTGCTTCCTCTTCTCTCAACAAATGATGCTACAGGCTATAAAATCGTTATTCACGGGCCAAGTATCAGCCATTGGCTGATTTGACCATGTTGCACTCGGTCATTACTGGGGCCGCCATGAAAGGCTGAAGCTTGTCCATGCGTGCACGCGCGATCGAATTAAAAAGCCACACATTTCAAGAAAAAACAAGTGAAAAGGTGCTTAAGAGCCTCAGGTGCAGGTGACGTATTTTCTTCTCCCATGCCGACCTTCCCAGCTTACCCTTCAGCACTTTCATTGAAACAAGAGATGAGAGAATAAAATTGCAGCATGCAACATATTTTTGTAGCTCCTTTTTTTTAAGCATATTGGCGACAGGAAATAGAATGAACTTGTTCTTGCAGGTGCACTTACTTGGTAGTCGTCAGCTTCATCTGCAACCACCTTCTCCAACAGCTGTGCCCTGCCGTCATCTTCCAGAAGCGCCTTGGGTACATTTTCGAAACGTGGACGTTGTTGCTGCGGCGCATAGTGAACACACAAGCGGTACAGGCAGCGCAAGAAGTCGTTACGCTCCTGGATGTTCTTGGCTTGCCACCTGAATAAACGATGGCAACATGTGACCATATGAAAAAAAACGCTGGCATGCAAACTGTGACCCTTACAACATGATGGTTATGGCACACCTGCCATAGTGAGCAACACTGCCTCGAACTTATCCATTTGTCACAGCAAGTTGCAGTCTCTTATATGGCACGAGCCTCAAGCTTGACTTTCAGGTGTATTGACCTCTTTACACGAATCATAATTTAGTGTTCTTAAGAAGTTTCAAACACACACACACACACACACACACACACACACACACACACACACACACACACACACACAGACTTAATTTTATATGGTTGTGCACTGGTACCCATGTCAAAGTAGACTTAGGTGGTGGCTGGTTGTGGGAGGAACCTAATTCGTAAGATGACACTCACTGTAGTTGATATAACAATGAATTATGGCTTGATTGTATAGCCCAGAGTTTTAAAAAGTGCGATACAGGCTATACAGGCTATACTATTTTAGTTTACATTATTCCAGCAGTTTGTAGTATCCTAGACCTTGTTTTATTTTTCACTAGTTTTGAACATCGTTAGCATCGTTTTACACCTGCATTTCTCCATGCTTAGTTATGCGACATGAGACGGTGGATCTACAAGGCACGCCCCCTATAAGTGATGTGCACTTAAAAGGCTGATTAACCCCTCTAGCTAAGCGAAAGTAACGCACGACCCTCAACGTGAAGTAGGATCACTCGTAAGCACGCTCTGCACAACGACGAGTCATTCGACGAAAGGCTCTGGTGCGCCTTTTATACCAACCTGTAAACTTTATCGAAGTGCAAATCGAATTCGGCGCTGTCCGCCTTGCGGCCGTCTACGAGGCGCAGGTCCCGCAAGGGCCAGCAGTGTTTCTTCTTGTACAAGTCCTTGTCGGTGCTCTTGACCTGGTAGAGGGAGACTCGTACGGGCTTCTCGGTGCTGACGACGGCGCACAGAAGGCTCATCTTCTTGCGTTTCGTGGCCTCCACGACGTTGACGACGTCGACGAGACGTTCGTCGTTGGGGCGAAACAGTTCGCACTGCAGAGAGTGTCGCGTCGCCGCCATCGCCGCCATTTCCGCAGCCCCAAGACGGTATGCACTGCGGCCACCGTCGAACTCGTCGCCCGGCGTTTGATCACGGAGACCCGCAAAAGTAGCGGCGTTTCCGTTTGTTGGGATACGATGGGTCGAGAGGCGGCCACATCGGTGGGCGAGACTCGCCGACAAATCTTTAAGACGTGAGAATAGCGCTTCCTTTATTTTCACGTACCAAGTTGTTAGCGACGTGAGAATAGACAAGTTTTAAATATCGACGTTTATTTTCCGTACGCGGCGGAAAAATGGTCTTCGAAACCTCTAAAGTCGTGTTAAGTTTTTTTTACTCTAGGTCTGAAGTTGGTCTGGAGGAGACCCCTTGAGGTCATTACTCTCCTTTTACATGCGACTGAAATGATAAATGCTCTTGAATTTTTTTTTAATGAGCATTAGAAGCGCTAGTGTGAGCCGAAGCGCAAATGCTTTGGAATCTACGTTCAATAAATATTCTAGCCAACCACACTTTAACTACAGTGGTGAATAATTGAATGCCATACTTTATTATCGCTTTTAATAAGCGTGGTTCTCATTGTACCGGCCACCAGTCTCGCTTAATCTCAAAGGCTATGTTTGATTGCCTGCAAAGGCCAGTCATGGCCATATTTTTTTTTTTTTTTTGGTAGCAGATAACCTGATGAAGCTACGAATTGATGACGAAAAAGACGTGGTCCAAAATCAACCCAGTCTTCCTCCTGCAATCTTGGGGACTGAGGGCCAAAATGACGTCATGGCTGCCCTATTTTGTACAAATTGAAGAGTTATTATTTAATATACAAACTATAGAGAAAAAGCTGGGCTAGAAAAGCTATATTATTAGAGGGCTATATAACCACCAAATCGTTAACATAACTGACATCTTGGACCGTTTTCATTGTTGCCATAACAATACTTAAATGAAGCGCTATGCGTATCAGTTTAAAGCTGTGCTGTCGCAACATAAATAATGAACCAGTTTGTTCGCGTATTATAAAGAAACCAAAGTTGTGTGATGTTTCTATCAACCACTTTTACGCAATATACAATAGTCATTCATGCAATTTGACGCGCATGCAAACAAGCACTTGCAACTTTGTTTACTAGATGGCACCACCATTCTTGGTACCGTATAGGGAGTGGCGTTTCTGGCGGGGGCGTGCGGCTAATTCCGGTGGCTTGCATTCGCCTTGTCGTCCGTTTTTTTTTTGTTTTTTTTTTTTGTTGTTGTTGTGAGCTAACAATTTGAATTTATGTGACAGTCTCTCACTGCACTGCCACAGTGATTCACGAAACAGAAAAAATTGCCAGCGGTTGCTGCAGCATGCAGTGGCGAGTGCGAGCGTACATCGCCCCTAGGCTGAATGTCGTTATATCATGGCGGCACCCTCTTGGTTATAGGTTTTATGCATCTTTCCTGTTGATCACTCTATGACACTCTATAGTACAAATATTTGAAATTTGAAAATAAATGGTACAGACCGCTTGTGCTAATTGAAAACAAGATACTCACAGCTGAATATTCATCTAGTTGTTATAGAAATACACCACTACGCGTTTGTTAGTCGATTTGGCAAACCTTGGCGCAAAATAAACCGATCTTGGAGGCTGCAACACCATGCGAGTATCTTGACTAGCCGATGCGAGGTGGCAGCACCATCTCGTTGTTCTGCAATTTCCACGCGAGAACCTGTTAGGCTGTGACATTAACCCATGGCGACACTCACGGAAACCGATCGAGGCGTGGACGGCGTATCAAGTCCAAATGTGCCCGAATCAGGAACAGTGCCTGGAGACGTTGGTAAATGTTTAGTATCCCCTCCATTCTTGGCACTGCTAGCCAGCGTTACTTTCATGCGAGCCACCACTGTGCTGGAGTTACAGTTAGTTCCGAACAAAGAAAGCTTATGCACCATGTGTTTCCCGCTAGAGACGACTGAGAAGCTAAATCGCCAGCGGATTCTAGAAAGGGCCCACGCAGTACGAATTCACTGCCGTCGCATTCCACACACGAGGAACTGCTCTCCCGCACGTCTTCGCCAATGCAGCTGGAGCAACACATATGCCGATCTTCGCTGCCTTCGTCAGACGACTGAATCGATCGCCAATTTGGTCTACAAACACCAGTGCATGGTACCTCTACCATCTCATCTAGTATTTCCATTGTGAGCCCCGATATTTGGAATACATCAGCGTGGGAGGAAATGATTGGGGTCGCGACGTTCGAGGTGAAGTTTTGGGACAAGTGGAATGTTCTGGACACAATGGCGGCCGCGCCTTGGAAGTACTGCATCCGAAACTTCCGCATTCAGTTGCATATGATGACGCCCATGGAGGTCAGAGGAGCCGTGGAGACAGTAACGAAGTACGCGCAAGGAAGGGTGCGAAGTGCCGGAAACGTTAAAAAGAAGCGTCAGAAGAACCCATCTGCGAGCGAGTACGCGAAAATTCCGTATCGCCGTTGACCTACATTGTGCACACCTCCAAGTGGCTGGTCGACCCAGTGTTTCGGTTCATTCGTCTGGACGACAATGAACCGCCTTCAACAAGCCAGCCAGGTGTTAAATGATGAGATGTGGTCGCACTCAACCCCGGGCTTTATTGAAGTGTACAAGAACAAGTAGCCACTCTTTGATGCCCCACATGGTGACCTCGCTATCTTTTAAATGAATGTGCCCGCGTTGTTCGATGCCATGATTTAACCATTGAACTTTCACTTTCATGGCAACCACGAGGAAGCGTATAGCCCGGTCGAGAAGGTGGTTTCCATGAAAAACTGCATGGAAATTGTGTACTCTCCGATTACTGAAAAACTTTTTTTGTGCTATTCTCTTATTTGACGTTAACCGTGGTAACATTCGTAACTTTACCCGCTACACAAGCTTTCCTTTTTACTACAAGACAGCGTGGTCCGTCGCATTTTAGTATGGAACGAGCCAAACAGCGTGTCATCTTCTTTAAACACAGTCAAAATTTGGTGGTGACGTAGACTCAGTGGCAGTCAAGTACTGTGCTGACCAGACCCAGGACGCCCATTATTATGCTCTCAAACGACGGAGTGTTTCCAGATGACGAGGCTTTCAACCACCGCATGTAGCGCAAGTGGCGGGTGTGTTCTCCATTGAAGAAATACGACAAACAAAAGCTACCCCATGGCCCTGTTGCCCCTATTTGACGTTTTTGTACTCAATAAATTGCACGTCGGCACGCGCTAGCTTGATCAATAAACGGCTTTGAAACTAACGTTTTGAGTACTTGGTCAATGACTAGCATATTCCGACGACACCGACAAGTACCACGGCTGTCAGTCAGTCAATCAACCAAATAGAGGCGGCTAATATTGTAGCAGTCGTTCATGTCGCTACCGCTTCAGTAGAGTCAGTCACTAAATCCTGACTGCTATAGTAGTTAAGTTTAATGAACTTTATTCGTCCACCGGTTGTTGCTGCTCTCGGGCTAGGTTGCCAGGAATCCATCGTTCGCAGACAATCTTCCGAGGTCCTCAGCGATGGCCCTGGCCCGCTGAACGTCTCACACCTGGTTTTTGAGTGCCTCGCTGAAAGTGGTTGCTTGCCATATCGCTCAGCAAGGCTTCAGACGGTCCTTGCGTTGACGTCGTCCTTTCTCGTGGCCTATCTTCATTTCTTGCGCATCGCCAAAGTACATGTGCCATATCGACATGTTTGTGCTCGCATCGTGGGCAGCCAAACGACGAGTGCAGCGTGGTCCACAGGGGTTGCAAATGATAGGGGTCGGTGAACGTGCCAATGCGTTTCATTTTCCAACGACACCGACAGGCGGCGCCGCAGCTGTCAGTCATCAATCCATGAAGTAGTGGTAACTAATATTGTAGCAAGTCGTCGATGTCACTATTACCATGTGTATATCTCACAACCTGAGTAGTATTATTTGTTCCCAGGCCATCGATGCCTGGATCCTGGTATTCCACTGCGCAGCGATGATACGGTGGACGAGGACGACGGCTTAGCCAAGTCACACGATGAAATCTACGAGTGGGCCAGAAGTCACGAGGGTGCCTTTGTGGCTGATCGGGCATCTGCAGCTGTATTCATGAATGAATTTACACTCACAGATAAATGGCTCGCTGCATTAGGTGAATTCACTCTGGGTACAATTAATATTATAAAACCACACATTTTGGGCGGTAGTCTTCATAGTATAAGCAAAGAGATAGACGGAAACGGGCAAATATGGGGTAATCAGATACAGCAGACGCGTACCTTGTGACTTCATTACAAGCTGCATCTGCATTTCGAGCTGGTAGTCATGACAGTCAGTGTTACACACCTGCTGCCATGGCTATATACTAGGGGAACTGACTGGCACTCCTAGGTTTAAATATTCTTATTTTACATTATATACTTTATAAAGTGGACGAGATGACCACCGTTACAGCTTAGTTGGTATCTACAGCGGTGGTCATCCTCCAGTCGACCTTATGAAGTGTATATGTGTATTTAAACCTATATGAGTGCCAGTCAGCGCTAGTAGCAATGACGATAAGTGTGTAATTACCGTCATGGCTGCTAGCTCGCAATACAGCTGCATCCCATAATAGGATCCGTTGGCGTAGCCAGATGGTGGTACACCGGGCACGTGCCCTTTTTTAAATTTTTTTTCGCCAAGGCATAGAGCGCGCACAATATCATGTGCCTGATCGCCCCCCCCCCCCCCCCGCACCCCAGATGGAAGAGACCTTTCACCCCACGCCTAGAGCCTGAGAATATATTTCTCTGCGCTCCTGATAAGGTAATGGGCTAAATGACGCACGCCAGCAGGCATAACTTGTTCCACGTTCCTCGTCATAATTAGGAGCACTGACTGACACTTCAGGTTCAATTGCACACTATTACGCAATAAGGTTGGCGGTAAAATGATCGCCGCCGATGCTGTAAGAGCATTGAACGCGTTATTCGAAGGTTGCAGGCTCGTATCCTGGCGGTGGCAAGTTATCTTTTCGTCCATTTTTCTTTCTTCGCAGTTACGTTACAATAATTGCTAAATTATCAATATAGTAACATTTTCTATACTTTTCTTGGCATCATTGTATGTTCACATTCAAAGCATAGCACGCAAAGGCTCCTCGTGTCCAATTGAGATTGCAAAGCTTACCGTGACTGCCAAGTCGGCTACAGATTAGTTACTTTCCTTGTGTATTCTTAACAGTCTCGGATTTATAGATATCATACTCGCCATCCGATGTGTATTCAATAATTTATTGGCAATGAAACTGAATAGTTGTTATCTTAGAAACGTAGACAAAATCTAGTCGGCCCATGCATTCTTTAGGAAGACCGGAAATGTCCAACTATGGCTTCGAAGGCAACTATCATTGAGCTAGCAACGGTGGTCCTTTGTTAAAGACATCCTGCGACCTTGGCCAGGTATGTTATAACGTGTCACTGTGTCATTTGTGTATGTTAATTATGTTAAAGTCCTTGTTGTGTAGACGCTGTTTTTGTGTCATCGTAGCGTTCTAAGAACTAACTTTTTTTAAGGATTTTTTCCTTGTACAAGTGGGACAACTCTTTGATTTCCTCTAGTTGAGGGCTCAGTGCTATGATTCGTTCCCATGCTATAAATTCCATTCGTCCTAAGCGCGCCTTCAAAATGATGAGTTTTACGCACAGCCTATCACTGTTCCGTAGCGGAATAGTATCATCATATATTTCGTAAATAATGTATTCCAGTTCCAGGGATACATATAGATCCATTGAATATCCGAAATCCCTCGCTTCTTTTTTGCTCTTCTTGGAGGTAACAGGCGAACATAATGAAGCGGGTAAAGTACACAAGAACTCCGTAGCTTGTGCACTCACAGGCTTTTGCTCCCCAGTTGTAAAACTAATAACATGCATACACGCTCAAAAAAAAAAAAAAATAAGGCATGGGTACCCAACGGGTACTGATACAAAATTTTCATTTGTTGTTTTAAATGAAATGAAGGGCCAAGCCAGTCGTGTCGTACAGAATGTACTGGGGAGTGCACCCTGAAAAAAAAAAGAGAACAATTTCAATACTGTTTTCACAAGGTAGGTTTAATTTTTACTGTGCCCTGACGTCACTACACGATATGAGTTCTCATCACGTGCTCCGGCAAGTTATTGTGACATTTCTACGGCCGCACCAGGCAGGGACTCGATAGCGGCGATTTTGGAAGCTTTGATGCATGACGTCGTGACGTCATCAAAACTACCCAGAACGGGTACGTATAAGTCCCCAGAATTAGTACCGCAGACCTGGGGCGTAGCCAGGGGGCGGCACACCAGACCTGTGCTTTGCTACCCTCCCTCCCGAAATTTTTTGCGCCATGGCAAATATAGAGAGAGCGAAAAATGACTATTTCAAGGGGTGCCCCTCCCAAAACGAAATGCCCCCCCCCCCCCCCCCAAAAAAAAAAAAACTGCTGGAGGTCGCCCTGCCATATAGCCTGATGTCAAGCTAATGTCCACGTCAGTAGGTGTGCCACAGACAGACAGACAGACAATGAACTTTATTTGATCCTGAGGAGCTTTCGCGGGAACCCCTATCAGGGACTCGCGCAAAAATTTATTTTATTATCAACATAAAATATCTCATCGACTTGAGCTGGGCGCCACAATTTCGCTAAGAGCTGTCTCTGTACACAGCAGATTAGTATGAGAGAGTAAGCTCACCTTCGAAGAATTGTGTCCATTTGATTCATCCTGCACTTCGTGAACTGGTTCATGGCTGTTCACCGTCTGGGTGACGTCGTCGTGCAGGGGGTGTTTCGGCAAGTGTATACAGCAATGAGACGCCGAAACGAATACAGGGGTGCATATATCGTGCGATCCCTGTGCTACACGCCAGCTGTCTCGCGGGTTAGGAGGCGTTCGTTTCGCAAAAGACGGCTCCGCTACCGCTTCCTGGCATGTGCAACTACCGGAAAATGTTCACTGCCGTACTTGTTCGGCGCCACTATAACAGACACGAATGCCCTCGGCTGCATGGTCTCCTGCAGCTGCAGCAATCTTGTGCTGCAAGGTCTCAGTACTACCTCACGAACAGGCGCGAGAAATCGGGCACTCCAAGTTAAATTAGATTTGAAGGTGCGTCAAAGTTACAAAACACGCGTGCTCACCGTTCGTGAAAACTCAAAATACGATAATGCGCAGATTGTTACGTTACGTTTGAAAAATTGGACACTGTCTGTCAAAGAAAACAGCCGCAAGTAATGTTTCTCGCCGCGTCAGTCGCAGAGCGAAAATCGCCGAACATTCGCAGCCCATGTGAAACAAAACCGCCATTAGCGGCTGTTGCGATGAAGTGAACGGAACGATTTTTTTTTTTTTTTTCGTTCCAATCGCGGCACGAGCAACAGCCCGTTCCTGCGTTGAGCAGCTCCGCCGTCGGCGTCGGTGGCGTAACCGGTATTCGCTGCGAGATCGGGCTATAGGTGGCAGCACTGCCCCACGAAAGTGTGGATAGGTGGTGGGCGGCGCGTATACAAATACACGCAGCGGCGCTTCGTTGCGTGCGGCCTGAGCCGATTGTCGGCAGATAAAATGCGTTGACCACAGTTTACTGTTAATATTTAAGCTCTTCTCTACTGAATCGGTGCACGATGCTTATGCAATGTTAACAATACCCGAGAGAAGCATTCTGCCTTTCATAGGGATGCTCGCCCTTGGTTGCCTCTCTTCACGCTTTCGCCCTGAATCACGCCTTTGCTGTGTTGTTTGTACGTGGTTAGCTTGTGTTCCGCCTTCTACGCACTGCTGTAGCGTGACAGAACTGCTTATTTACACCCTTGTCATCTACATACTACAAAAAAGAGAAAAAGGAAGATCGTAGAAAGCCCCCATATCTGCGTGATTTGTTCAGTACCACCATTCGCACCTTATGTACATATGATTTTTTTTCTCAATCCGTTCACCATGAAATGTGGGACGATCGATAACTGTCATCAAGAAAGCTTAGTGGCTGACGGTGCTTTGAGCTACACTGCGTTTACCTCGTGTACGCACATGTTTTTGCACCAGTAAAACTCTTATATAAGAGTTCAGCAGAAAGCTTTCATCGATAGCTTACGTGCATGAGGGTGCTACAACGAAGGCCCGGTTAATGTGACAAGCATTTTTGTTTGTTTCAGACGAAAATTACCCCTGCCTTCCGTCGGTCAATAACAATGCCACACAAACGCTGAAAAAATAAAAAAAAGATGAAGTATTCAGCGTCTCGGCTCTTTAAAGCGTTCTTAAATTTAAGGACGTGGTTGCGCACGGTAACACGGTTGCGCACGATGGATCCTGTTATTGATTCTGATGGTATACAGAAGCTAATTCGTGGCCTGAACTTGTCTTTGTCTTGCGGAGTGGACGGCATCTCTCCAAAGTTTTTGAAAAGTACGGATGTTTATTCCCTCAATGTTTTTGTCCAAACTGCTTTCCCAGTCCTTAGAGTCTTGTTCCTTACCACGTGACTGGAAGGTGGGCAAGGTGGTACCATTATTTAAATCTGGTGATGCACAGTCCCCTTTGAATTACCGATTGATATACCTCACCAGTGTGCCTTGTAAGCTTTTAGAACACAAAATTTATTCTCACCTCGTAGCCTTTCTAGACACAAATTAATTCTTCTCTCCCAACCAACATGGCTTCCATAAACATTTTTCATGTGAAACTCAACTGGTTTCGTTTACACTTGACCTTTTCGCGGCATTGGACAGTGGACTAATTATTGATTGTATACATTCCTGGACTTCTCTTAGGCTTTTCATCTTGTTTCTCGCCAGGTATACTCTGTTTTAAGCTAAGTAAACTAAACATTGACCGCAATATATTAAAATGGATCGAATACTTTCTCGCTAACTGAACTCCGTTTGTCACCACCAACTATAACAACTCACAAGAGTCTCCTGTCGCTTCTGGTGTGCCACAGGGGTCAGTTTTGGGCCCTCTTCTCTTTCTTGTTTATATCAATGACGTGCCTAATAATTTTCTATCATCAATTAAATTATTATGTGATGACTGTGTTATTTACAGAAATGCTTGCACTAATATTGACGCAATTTCCTTCAACAAGATCTTAATGCAGTTTTTTTCTGGTGTACTAGATGGAGCATGCGACTTAACGCTAATAAATGCAAGGTAATGCGAGTTTCTCGCACCCCTGGTTCCATTGACGTTCCCGAATAGCTAATTAACGATAGTGTTTTAGAAAGTATTTCATGCTATAAATATCTTGGATTAAAATTTACCTCTAATCTCTCATGGCACGCTCATGTCGCCTACGTAACTAACAATGCTAATCGCACTCTTGGATACCTATACGAAGACACTTTTCAAGGGTACCTTCAGCTCTTAAACTCATTCTATATAAAACCCTTGTTTGTCCTATGCTTGAGTACGCAAGCGCTGTATGGGACCCCGACATTAACACACTAGTTCAAACCTTAGAATCCATCCCAAATCGGAGTGCACGTTTCATCCTCTCAGGCTATGCACGCACATATAGCGTATCATTTATGAAAACAGTTTTGGGCCTTCCACTTCTTTGTTCTCTTATGAAAGTGTCTCGTCTTGTTATTTTTTATAAAATTTACCTCAATCCGCAACTAAAACAAGACCTTCTTTCCAAATCACACTGCATGTCCTATAGATGTGACCATCCCCAGAAAGTACACATTCCTTTTTCACATACCAAGTTCTTTAACGAATCCTTTATTCCCACTACTTCGAACGAATGAAACCCCTTACCCTCCTCTGTTGCCCAATTGACCGATGTCACTACTTTTAAGACTGCTGTTGAATGCGATGTTTACGCTTAGCAGCATTTTTCTTTGTTCACTCTTATTGTTGTTATTACTATGTATACTGTAAAACCGAAAGTTGGGCGAGTTGGTGACAGTTCATGATTACAAATAAGCAGCGCACGACGTTTTACAAAAGAGAGACGAAAGGGACACCGCTGCACTCTCAACTAGTTTATTTCGTAAAAGACCTTGGTTATTATACAACAAGACGGTGTACCACGTGCTACAATGACAACGTATTTTCTAAAAAGCCAACTTCGCAATCGCTCAAAGTAATCGATGCTTGGCTTATACAGTAATCTTTTCTTTTTGCGATGTGGAAGGCCTCGATCACTTCCCTTGTCATCTTATCTCTGTGGCTGGAAAGAATTTTAGTCTCAGAGAACAGCGGGGAGCAGCCACATTCTAAGCAATGCCGTCTTAAGTGCGAGTAAGCATTGTTAGCTAATGCTCTCTTGTGCTCCGTTAACCTTGTATTTATGCACCGGCCCGTTTGACCGATGTACATTTTCCCACATGACATGAGCAAACAGTAAACCACCGCGGTTCTGCACTCAACAAACGAAACACTGTGCTTAACAGAGCACCGACACCTATCCTTTTTTGTCAATCGCTTTCTATCTAGCCTAGCGCATATCTTCCCTAGTTTGTTAGGTGCAGAAAAAACAACTTGTAATCCATACCGGCTGCCTACATTCTTTAGATTATGTGATATACTGTGCGCATAGGGTATGGAGACACATTTCTTTTTCTTTTCTTCATAATTCCTCTCAATTTGAGGCTGCTCCAAAGATATATTCTTGCGCACAAGATGAACCAACTTCTGTGCGGTTCTGCGCAGAACATGCTCTTCGTAACCGGCACTAGCCAATCTATCTACTTGTCTGATGAAGCTATCATTAACTTTGTGGGAACAAGATTTGGCCAAGGCAGCGCGGAGACACGAGAAGGCTATGCCATTCTTAACTGTCTTTGAATGCCCGGAAGAATAGCTAAGCAGGGGCTTCTCAGATCGTGGGCTATATAACCAGCAAACATGGTCTGGCTTACGTGATAACAATAAGTCCAAGAACTGAAGCTGACCTTCCCGTGGCACTTCCCACGTAAACTCTAGGCCTTCGCTGCAGTCCCTGAAAACACTTAAGGTATCTACTATAGCCCTGTCAAGTACAGTGTGTTCTACAAAAATTAGGTAATCATCAACATATCTAAAAATGGTCTTTGCAAGGCCCTTTATGTTGGCTTCAATTTTTTTGTTCACGTAACCCAAGAAAATGTTGCTAAGTATCGGGGCCACCTTCGAACCAATGCATATTCCCGATCTTTGTAGGTACAACTCATCATGCCATTTGATGAAAGTAGACCTTAAGTAAAAAGACAATAATTCGAGGAAAGCTCCTACTGAAATGCCGCATTTGTTAACAAATTCGATTTCATCATTATCATCAGTAATGCACTTTCTAACAACTGTCAATAAAGGACCATGTGGAATGTTGTAGTACAAATCCTGAACATCAACACTAAAAAAATTGCAAGTACCAGGGTTTGAGGTTGTCAAGAAGGCAACCAACGCCTCCGAGTTCGGTACACAGAAAGGATCCGATACCTTAAGGCTAACTAGCTGCTCTTGAAGAAAGGTAGAAAGATTAAGTTGCCATGAGTCCCTTTCCGATACAATACACCTAAACGGAACGTCAGGCTTGTGAGTTTTTGCTGCAAAAAACAACTCCAGGTGCAAATTTATCGCACGTTTCACAGTAGAAGCAAGCTTTTCCAGATTGTGGTTCAAAAGTAGCGCGACAGCTTCTTCCTTGACTTTGCTAGCTTTCTTGTTAACAGGAACAAAATTCTTATTAACTGCCGATAACGCCTTAGTTTGGAAAAGCCCATCAGGTAAAATAACAAAGCAACCCTCCTTGTCAGAGGTCAGAAAACGCAAATTGTTGCTAATGCCAAAGTCCACCAAAGTTCTTACGTGCTGTTGCTTCCCGCTTGTGGTTGACGTCCTCTTTAGAACATCCACGCATTCCGTGATGAAGCGTGGGCGCTCTTCTTCTAACACACGACGAGCAAGGTTCTTGGTGAGCGCCACTTTCTCC